GATGCCTAATGATTATGATAATTTCTATGTGTAGTTGTGAGTGTATTTCTGGTATTAGATGTTAAAATTGATGTTCTGAGAGAGATTGAGTTGTTTGAAATGTGCTTGTAAGTTAGGGTTCATGAAGGATTGAGGTTTTGATAATTGGTATGTTGTTTTGATGAAATTGATGATTCAATCGGGTTTCATATTGATTTATAAATGTCGTTGTGATATTATTTGGTAAAATTGATAATTTAGATGATTATTGGATTTATTGGGATGTGCTATATAAGTTAGAGTTCTTGTAGATTGATGAACACCCTTAATTATATGAATTAATGAGTAATTGAGAGATTTTACTTATGGATGTATCTTAGTATTTTTGTAATATCTTTCTGTGTAATTAACCAAATCAATTTTAGTTTATTGGGTTAGAACTTAGACACTTGGAGCTATAATTTAGACTCTAGAATCGTGTAAAAATGTTAATAATTGATTGAGTTATGCGAGTTATAAGTTAATTAAGTCTCCATTCTAGTGCGCAAAATATTAAATTTTGTATTGTCATCCATGCGATGAGACCTTAACGATATTTTTAGGCTTTGTGTTCTTCACAAAATTTGTAGATTTGGGTGTTATATTTCTAATGGCTTTGGAATCACTCAAAAAGGATGCCTAGAACTCTAGATATGTCTGTTTTAGTGAGCAGAGGTCAAGCTGTCAGCGTGGATTATATCTGTTTCAGATTTTGAAATTTTTAGCTAAGTAGATGATTTTTTTTAGAATTTCATGCCTTCATAAGAGTTGTAGATTATTTTCTTATATTTCTTTTGAGATAGGTTTGAGCTTATTTGGATGAGTATAACTCACTGTGTGTTGTTTTCTTTGATAGTTGTCGAAAGGAGATGCATATTTCTTTGATGTTTTAAGGTGCATGTTATCATGTGGATTGAAAAGTGGTTTAAAGTTGTATGATATTATGTTGTAAAGTTAGTTCATATATGTATGATGATGTGATGTGAATTCATGGTGAATATCGTGTGGGGTATATGAACCATTTTTTTGTGTGGATTTATCTATATTGTGCAAGTGATGTGGAATTGATATGTGAATCGTGATGTGATGATTGGGCACAGTCATATGTGTGACACCAGGCCGTAAGGGTGTGCATGTGATACTGTGCTATTTATGTGTTGTTAGGTGCATGATCATATGCGTGATATGATACTAGATGTGTGATGCGTCAAGTATAGTCGTATACGTGATATTAATGCCGATAGTGGAATGCATTAGCACAGTCGAGTGCATGACACGATGCTGAACGTGTGATGCATCAGCAGGGGCATGTAAGTGATCTTGTGCTGGATGTGTGACACAGTGTATATGTGCAATTTGTTTATATGTACATATGTGAATTGTGGTGATATGATGAAATATGTGGATTGTGATAAGATGATGAAATTTGTGCATTTATGGATTATGTTTCTTTAAGATTATTTTGTAGAATTTCGTGATGTGCTTTCTATATAAATATTTTATTTTCTCACCGTATATTTGTGGTTTCTTAGGTGAGGAAGATGGGGACATGGGTGGCATTCAAGGTGCCAATAGTTAAGTCGTGGGGTTGCACTGATAGTGTAACATCAGGGCAAAGGATTCTAGATACTTCATTTTATTGTAATTGGATTTTATATTTCCTTGTTAGTTAAATTTATGAACTTATATTTTATAAATATTTATTTTAAACTATTTTGATATTATAATTATTTTAAGTGTTAACCATTTTACCCGAGTTGGGGAACTATTTCTTTATATTTTTATATTATATTTGTTGGGATAGAATAATGAGTGTCACAGATGTCCCTCGGGATATGTTGTGTAATAAAGTTGTTATGCTTGTTGTGCAAATATAAATGGGTCATATGTATTTTTTATATGTCTGTGATTCCTTGACTTCAACAATCCCATACTTATTATCTACTTTTGTCCCTATACTAAGAGTATTATCAAACCAATCACACTTGAATAAAACTAACTTCATGAATGGGAAGCCAATATAGTCCAATTGAATAATATCAGACAATATTTCATAAAAATCAAATTCTAACTGACCATTGGTTCCTCGTACGGAAACACCATAATTAGAGGACTTCATGCCTTCACTTCAACAAATAATGTGGAATTTGTATCTATTGATAATGTAGGTATGCCATAATTCAACTTTTCTCTTGGGATCCTAAGCCAGATTAACCAAAAGTGGATCTTGAATATTATTTTCTGAATTTAGAACCTACAAAATTTAACAATGAATGTTGTAAACCATATTATTTTAGAAAAAGTATTTGAATAACTTATAAAATGTTAACTTACATATTTTTTAAACCATGTAGGAAAATTTGATGAAATATCTTAATTTGTCAATTTGAGCATCCAAAGCAATAGGATCAAACTCCCTTAAAAATTCAATATAAATACTGGAAAATTGGTATAGAAGGCTACAAGCCAAAATGCAAGCATCAAGAATCCAGCAAAATAATATATTCAAATAAAAATAATTGTACCAATTTCTAAAATGTAATAAAGAAATAATACCTAACGCTGTGCTTCCCTCTCTTGCTTTTTAATTTCCTTTTTCTTCAATGGTTTAGCCTCATTATACACTCCACCAGCAGCTTCATCATAACTCTCACCAACAGATTCTGTTTACATGCATACATTTGATCACTTCAAAAAGGCAACCAAGTTTTTCAATTAACTCATGTAAAAGTTAAAACTAGCTAGCTTTTAGAGAAGTTAAGACAGTTTCTAAAAAATAGCTTATTCATAACCTAATTTAACTTGAATGAGAAGTTTAATTCACTTAACCTTCTTATTGTATTTCCCTATAAGTGTTTATCCAGAGATTCATCGAAAGACAACTTAAACACACAAAGATCATCAAACATCTATGATTCCGCATTTCCAAGTGAAAAACAATACATATTAGCTCCAGTTACATCTCTGATTATTGCTTAATATTTTCATTCACCGAGGCATTATACATTAGGCATAGAAACAAACCAAATTAAACTTGTTGGGACATATATAAAGTTGATTTGGATCATAATGTTTAACTACTCTCATAGTAATTTTGAAGTAAAAGGAAGTAATTAGTATATCATAGTCTTTTGGAACAAGTTTTGGTAACCTGCCTCTGCCGACATGTAAAACTAAGTTCTCCATTATATAGGTGGTCTCCAATTTAATTACGAGTATTGAGGAGATTATATCAATAATAATTCAGCATAAACAACTATATAGAAGCTAGTATTTTCTGAATTAGTATAAACTACACTATTTTCTGAATTTCCGCAGGTATATATCAACAATCACCATGCACAATTTATACACGGACGGTGCGAAAGCTCGCGGAAGAACAAATCGAAGTCTCAGTTCAAGGTTACTTCACGGGTTCACACCAATAATATTCCTCAACTTATTGAACAACAAAAGAATTTTAAAATAAAATTTGAATATTTTCTCAACGCATCAATATGAAAGAACACCCTTTATATAATGAAATTAACGGTGTATCCGGTGTATAAACCCTTAAATTCTTTAAAAAAGACAACCCTAGCTAACAGATCAATAAATGAAATAATAAAATGTGAAACTAGTTCTTCTCTTTACAAATTATAATACATCAAATTTGAACTCTGTAAACCAAGGACCCTGAAAAGGGTGAAAGGGCACCACCAAGAAGCATATATAGCAATAATAGCATATATAGCATTGTCACTGATCATATGATGTCACTACAAGCGTGAGGGATAATGGTTGACAGGGAAATAAGAAACAACAAGTGGAGCTTCCTTTGATTTTGGTTTGTTCTTTGGTTTCTCTGAAGAAGGAGATTTTAATTGAGATGATCCTTCAGCATGATCAGAGACTTGACTCGATGTAGATGGAGTAAAGCAATTCAAGAAAATTGATATCAAAGCCATTATTGGTGTAGTTCCTCTTTCTAAGGAAGCAAGTGCTATGCTAAGCTCAAATGAATTGTGTTGTTGTGTGAGTCATATAACTGAGAAAACCTAAATATATATTTATAGCATATGATATGATAAGACAATGGAAGGTACTATGTTAGTCCATTTACTTGGGGGAGCAAGGAGAACGTAAGGACCACACGTAATTGTTCTTATTAATTTGAAAATCCATTGAGTCTTTAGTGGCTGCTTTTGACCTTTGTCCTCATAGTCTCGAGAGTCTTTGACAAATTGTTAAGTGGGCCATCACATCCTTAAATTGAAAAATTGTTCATGCATCTATGTTTCGTAAGTGATAAAAAGAACCAAGTATTCGGCATCCACTGTAGTAACTAATTTTTGTTAAAGAAGAAATTACTAGTTAGTCCTACAGAAAATATTTTCTAATTCATCTATACATGATATGTAATTAAATTTACTTAATTTTTTTCATAAATTAAAAAAATTAAATACATGTTATATAATAATTAATTAAAATAATAGATACTTGATAGTCTCTGATTATCTAATAATTTCTTTCATTAGGGGTCGTGAGTGTGCATAAAATGTGTATTTTTCTCTAACATAATTTATTTCATATTTAAAATAAAAATTTGAATCTAGAACAACTTAATTAAAAAACACAAGTCATTGTCTTTTTATAGTTCTTCAAGAAAAATAAATGATCTTTTTCCTTGTGTCTTTTTATTTTTTTTTTAAGAAAAATAAAATATATAGTTATTAAATACACTACAAGAAAACGCTGAAACGCTGAATAGTTATTAAATTTACTTAATTTTTTTTCATAAATTAAAAAAATTAAATACATGTTATATAATAATTAATTAAAATAATAGACACTTGATAGTATCCGATTATCTAATAATTTCTTTCATCAGGGGTCGTGAATGTCCATAAGATGTGTATTTTTCTCTAAAATAATTTATTTCATATCTAAAATTAAAATTTGAATCTCGAAGAACTTAATTAAAAGACACACGTCGCTACAACTTATATGTTAACTTTCTCCAAAGGAGTAGAAAAAGAGACATGCTTCCTGGTATCTTCAACAAGGCCATCGATTACATCGACTCGGAAGCAATTGCTTTTGTCATTGGGGTAGTGCATGGCATCAAAAACATCAAAGTTGACTTCTTCATCATTCACTCTCACCTTAAGCTTCCCATCATCCACATCAATTAGAACTCTTGCAGTCTTCATGAATGGTCGGTCAAGAATGAGAGGTACATCAATGTCCTCTTCTATATCCATCACCACAAAATCAGCTAGAAACAAGAAACGGTCCACCTTCACCAGAACATCCTCCACTATGCCATGAGGATACTTCACCGATCGATTAGCCAACTGCAAGGTCATGCGAGTGGGCTTCACCTCCAAATCACCAATCCTCTAAAGCATAGATAAGGGCATGAGATTTATGCTAGCCCCCAAATCAAGCAAAGCCTTCCCAATAGCTAAACTCCTAATAGTGACTGGAAGAGTGAAACTACCAGGGTCCTTGGATTTAGTTGGCAACATCTTCTGAATAATGGCACTACATCTCGCCTCCAATGTAATGGTCTCCTCTTCAAAATATTTCCTCTTTTTGGTGATGAGCTCCTTCATGAACTTAGCATAAGTAGGCATTTGTTCCAATGCCTCGGAGAATGGAATGTTAATCTTCAAGGTATTGAAAATCTCCAAGAACCGAGCATATTGCCTCTCCTTATCTCTTCTTGAAGGGGCATGAGGATATGGAAGACTCTTGGTGGGTGGCACCTTTACAATATGCCTCTCCTCCATGGATGTTTTCTTCTTCTCTCCACTAACCCCTTCTTTCTCTTTTTCAATTTCTTTCTTTTTCTCACTCTTTTTGTCCTTTTCTTTTTTCATTTTATTCTCTTCAACCATCTCACTTCCTTCACTCCTTCTCCATACTCCTGGGCCCTCTAAGATGATTTCTTCATCAACACTAGCATCATCTTCCACACTCATGTCATTTTTTTCTTCTCTCTCATTCTTCTTCTCATCTCAACAACTTCAAGCTATGCAAACTAATGCCCCTCCTATGCAACAAGTGTTATCATGTGATTTTTGTGGAGGTGACCACCCTAATGGCTATTGTGCCGAATCATCTAGTTCCCAAGGTGAAGAAGTGAATTATATGGGGAATCAAGGGCGGAAAAATTTCTCTCAACACCCTTATCCTCAAAACTCAAATCAGGGGTGGAGAAATAATTATCGTGGAAACAAGCAAGATATGAATGCTTCATCAAGTAGCAGGCCTCCACATCAACACCAACACCCACCTTTATATGAGAGAACCACCAAGTTGGAAGACACACTACAACAATTCATGCAATTGTCTATGTCCAACCAAAAGAACACTGATACTTCAATTAAAAATCTGGAGATACAGGTGGGGCAAATAGCAAAGAAGCTAGCAGAGCAACAAAAATGTTTTTTCTCAGCCAACACCGAGAAAAATCCAAAGGGGCACTTGAATGTAGTATCTACAAGGAGTGGTAGGGAATTTGTGGTGAAGGAGAATGAGAAGAAGAATGAGAGAGAAGAAAAAAATGACATGAGTGTGGAAGATGATGCTAGTGTTGATGAAGAAATCATCTTAGAGGGCCCAGGAGTATGGAGAAGGAGTGAAGGAAGTGAGATGGTTGAAGAGAATAAAATGAAAAAAGAAAAGGACAAAAAGAGTGAGAAAAAGAAAGAAATTGAAAAAGAGAAAGAAGGGGTTAGTGGAGAGAAGAAGAAAACATCCATGGAGGAGAGGCATATTGTAAAGGTGCCACCCACCAAGAGTCTTCCATATCCTCATGCCCCTTCAAGAAGAGATAAGGAGAGGCAATATGCTCGGTTCTTGGAGATTTTCAATACCTTGAAGATTAACATTCCATTCTCCGAGGCATTGGAACAAATGCCTACTTATGCTAAGTTCATGAAGGAGCTCATCACCAAAAAGAGGAAATATTTTGAAGAGGAGACCATTACATTGGAGGCGAGATGTAGTGCCATTATTCAGAAGATGTTGCCAACTAAATCCAAGGACCCTGGTAGTTTCACTCTTCCAGTCACTATTAGGAGTTTAGCTATTGGGAAGGCTTTGCTTGATTTGGGGGCTAGCATAAATCTCATGCCCTTATCTATGCTTTAGAGGATTGGTGATTTGGAGGTGAAGCCCACTCGCATGACCTTGCAGTTGGCTAATCGATCGGTGAAGTATCCTCATGGCATAGTGGAGGATGTTCTGGTGAAGGTGGACCGTTTCTTGTTTCTAGCTGATTTTGTGGTGATGGATATAGAAGAGGACATTGATGTACCTCTCATTCTTGACCGACCATTCATGAAGACTGCAAGAGTTCTAATTGATGTGGATGATGGGAAGCTTAAGGTGAGAGTGAATGATGAAGAAGTCAACTTTGATGTTTTTGATGCCATGCACTACCCCAATGACAAAAGCAATTGCTTCCGAGTCGATGTAATCGATGGCCTTGTTGAAGATACCAGGAAGCATGTCTCTTTTTCTACTCCTTTGGAGAAAGTCCTAATCAATGTGGTAGAGTACCTCCATGAAGAAGAAGATAGAGAGATTGAGGCATGTCTGAAGAGCCTTGACTCTTATAAGAAGGTGACACCTAATTATGTGCGTATAGAAGATTTGAAGGAGGAAGGGGAGGTGAAGAAGCTTGAATTAAAAATATTTCCTTCTCATCTCAAGTATGTATTTCTAGAAGAAGTTGGAAGATGACTCTCGAAGAACAAGAACATAGGAGATTCTATACAAGATGTATCGAAAAGGAATGGGTAGTCACGTGTCATGTTGCGCATCACGTCACGTGTCATGAAATGGTCTATCACACCAAGGCACATGGCGGTCACATATCAAGACGAAGGATGTTTTTCACGTCTCGACCCTCTCGGTCATATTGGTGACCGAGATACGTAATCCTTTTACCCTGATAGACTTGAGGATTACATATCTCAGCTCACTTGGCCACGTCGGTCATGCCAATTGCCGAGATACAAGGATTCCACATCGTGCATGAGTCGACCAACTTAAGAGTACCTGTTTCAGTCATCTCGACCATCCTAAGCGTTGAAATAAATGACCCTTTCCCACAACATCATCTCAGGCAAACCAAAGGCCAAGTGTGCCAAGACGATGACACCATTAAACCCTGTTATATGGCAAATTACATGATTAATGAAGAAAGTACGCGAGATTAAGGCCCACCAAATCCAACCCCATTATGGTCAATATAAATAGTCACACAAAATGAGGTAAAACTACTGTTCATTTATTGCTACTATCGATATTCGTGTTTGTCTTGACTTGAATGTCAAAGTGCCTTTTGTAGGTATCTCTCCCTTTATCTCTCGACTCTGAGCTCTCATTCAACCTCAAGATCCTGGATCACCACGTGAAGATTATTGGTGTGCCACTAGACAGGTACATTTTGGCACCCATCGTTGGCCAACCGAAAGCTCAAAGTACAGCAAGCTAGCACTATGGTTACCACTAGGAAGAATACTACAATCACTACAAAAAAATATACAATTTAGCGACCACCAAAATTGATCGCTAAATTGCTAAAATCGGTCGCTATTTACCTTAGCGACCGAATTTAATCAGTTGCTAAAACCCTGGTTTCTAAGATGTTTAGTGACGAAAAAATTTTCGGTCACTGTTTAGCGACCAAAAATTTCAATCGCAAAATGGTTGCAATGATTTTGGTCCCTGAAGTGTATGAGACCAAATTAGTAACCGAATAAATTGGTCGCTAAATATTTATTTTTTATTTTGTTAAATTTTATAGACGTCACAAATTTGGTCGCTACGAATTACTCATATTTGGCCTCTTAAGGATTTTATTTCATAATAAACTTTTTAGCATGTTTTTTCCTTAATTACACAATTTTTGGAAACTTCCCAGAAGGTCACTCATCCCTATATTACTCAAAGTCAAGCACGCTTAAATGTAAAGTTCTGATGAGATAAGCTACCAAAAAGCAGATGCATATTGTTAGTATAAGTAGTACAAATTAATTCATTTAAGTCATCCTCAACTATCCAATCTCATACATATACTATCTTTGGATCCTTATCATTTTAGTGTATCCCGACCGTTATAAATATATAATAATATATATATTAATTATATTACTACTAATAATAATCATATTATATTTAATTAATCTTTTTATATATATATACTTACTTTTATAATTAACAATCTACTTATTTCTATTTAAAATTAATTTTATGATACAATTTAAATTATTTATTATAAATTTAAAAGTTTAAGTAATAATTTATATATTTTAAAATGAGAAGGGTTATAATAACACTGGTATAACTTTTACTAAGTATTACATTGTTCAATAACTTTATATTAAATGTGAATTTTGTAAATCCAACCGTTAAATTGAAAGTTCATATCACTTTATATGTTTATATCAAGTTTTGTTAAAATTGAACAACAACTTGAAGGTAATCAAAGTGCTCATATTTTAATATATTTTGAAATGTATATGTTACGTCAATTTTATTTTACAAGAATGAAGTATCAAATCATCTTGAATTCATATAAAATTTTGTATATATGATCTAAGAGTAAAAAACTTTCAATCTAACGGTTGAATTTATAAAATTCACATTTAATATAAAGTTATTGAGCGATGTAATACTTAGTAAAAGTTACACCGATGTTATTATAACCCTTCTCTTTTAAAATATTATTTTTATAAATTAAATTTTAACATTTTAAATAAATTATTAATTAACTTAATATATTTATTCATCTTAAATCTAAGATATAAAATTCAAAAAATGTATTTATCCTTGTTTTATTTTCTAATTATCAACCATTAATAAAATACTAATTTAAAATCTTATATAGTTATATCATAATATTTTCATATCAAGTTTAAAACCAGATATTAATTATACAAAAATATCAAAATCATATAGTAAATTATTAATAAGATTCTAGTTAAATAATTTAAAATAATTTAAATAATCAATTTTATCACACAATAATAAAGAAATACTAATAGTTAAGAAAATACATTTGTACTCTTCCTATTAGAAAGAGAGAGGATGTTATAATTCTTGTTTTCCTTAAGATATCACATCTCTTCTATCAATAAAATTTAAATATCAAAATTTATTTAATAATAAAGTTATCATAAGTTAGAAATATATATTATAAATATGGATCAAAATAAATAAGAAATTTTAAAAAATTCATATACTCTAATTAAAAAAATGCCTAAAAATCCAATCGTAAAAAAAAACCCTAAATATTTTTTCACATAAATAACTATTGGTATTAATTATGTAGGAGTGTATATAAATATTT